TAGGGTCACAGAGGAGGCTATAACGGACGAGGACGAGGCAGAGGTCGAGGTTCGAGAACTCTCACGAACCAACCCTCTAGTTCTCAGCAAAATGCTGGTGGCGTGGTACAAGCCGAGGTAAGTCAGGAAACAGGGTCATTCCCCTTGCGGGGAGTCATCAACACAATTGCATGTGGTTTCGTAGGGGGAGGCTCTAGCAGCTCAGCGCGAAAAAGACACTTGCAAAGCATCAACAATGTTCACCCCGCTACCTCGGCCCCGCACCACATCACACCACCGATCACCTTCACTGACGACGATTACACTGGCATCTGTCCAAGGAGAAGAATCTCTTTCACTTCTCCTAAGTTTGCTATCAAAAAAGCTGTCTTGTGTCTTTCACTAGGTTCAAATCCTAACTGCCAGAATCCAAATTTGAGATCAAATTTGAAGAAGATGTTGGATTCCTTTAGCAAGATAGGCAAAGAAGATGTTTTTGGAAGAGGAAACTTATCATCCCTCAGGAAATGATTGAGGGGTTTGTAGTCAATGACTAATCTCTTTTTTCCTCTGAGTCTTTTTGATCTTTTTTCTACATAAAAAGTTTGACATGCCCAGTTTGATTCTGTATGCTCTATGAGACCTTGTTTGAGCAATTCTTGACATTCTTGTCGGGCTAGCTTAAGATCAGATGGAGACATGCCTGGATGGGATGCTTTTGTGGGATTTACATCCTCATTTAGCTTGAATGGCAATTGTATGAAGAAATCAGGGTTTTTCCAGAAAGGATTTGGATGAGTGAAATCCTCATGATTATCAGAACATAAAGATTTTAATTGTTTCTTGATTTCTTCTAACTCTGGTGGAACTTCTGAGAGAGAATATAACTTGTTGGTTGGCACAAAGGGCTTAAATTCTCCTTTGAATCTGAGTTCATTTGGATGGATCAATAGTCTGTGTGCTAGACTGAATACATCCATTCCTATCAGAATATCCTTGTTGGGTAACTGAGTTCCAACGACTTTAGACCAAATTATGCAGTCTTTGAAGAGTCGGATACCTACTGGTGCTCGAGAAATGACCTCTGTTTTGAAGGTTTTCCCATCAGTGGCTATGAAGTATGTAGTCTCTTTTTTCCAGAAATGGGATGGCAGGATTTCTGGATTCATCATAGTCTTCTATGCTCTTGTATCAAGAAAACCTATGACTTTGATAGGCTTCTCATATTTAGATGGTAATATTTTGATCTCCACATTGGGATGTGGAGGAGCAGCAACAGTTGTCATATTATCGAATTGATCAACAACGAAGATTGGAACTGGTTCTTCATCCGTATCACTACTAGAATCTTCTGGAAAAAAATCTTGTAGAGCGAACGCAATATCTTCATCTGTAGAACTTTGTTCTGAGTAAAGAGATTCTACTTCATCTCGATCATTCAAGTGTAAAGATGAGATCATCTTTGTGGCTTTTTGGGCCTTGTTTGGACAGGATTTAGCAAAGTGTCCTATTTTACCACAAATGTAACACCTTTGACCTGGGTTTTTTCCACGAGTCTTCTTTTTCTTTAAAAACCTATAAGGTTTTTTATGCTTCCTCTTCTTGAAGTGAGATTTGTATTTCCTGCCTTTCAATTTTTTCTTTGAACAGTGGCATCTATCTTTGTCTTTGCATTTGATCTCCAAGAAGGGTTTTCTACAAGCTTTGGAGTACTTCCCTTTATCTTTTAGCATGTTTGAGAAGTATTCATGTTGGCGGCAAAGCTTATCTACAGCTTCTTGGGTTATCTGATGAATTCGACCCATTGTTAAGCCCGTAAAGTCTTTATTCATGGCAGCAGCCATTCTGGCTAGTTCTAGATGGATTTTTACAGGAAGTGAGCTTACATAAGTGTTTTTCAAGCTTGGATCATTGAGAACATTGAGAAGGTAGAATCTTTTAAGCATCCTTAGATAATGCTTGTCAAGATCCTTCATCTTGAGTGAACAGCACTTCATTTCAAAGAATTCTTGTCTGATTTTTCTATTTGTGAGTGCTCCATCACATATGAATTCTTCATGGATTGCACCAAGGGCTGCAGCAGTGTTTCCTAGGTCATGAAATGCATTTTGGCGAACTGGTCCTAAATTGGCATACCATTCCTTTAGGATTCTAGTCATTCTGCAACCAAATTCTTCAATGATCTTCTAGGGTTCAGCGTCTCCTTTCATAAATCTGGTGTCTAGCTAAGCACCAAATTCAATCAACCGGGATCTCCATTGACTTGGTCAATATCGTCAAGAGTGAACCAAGGTCCACTAGTTGGTTTGGCGACCCCATTTCTAGGGCTCTGTCTGGGACTTTCGTCAGGTGATTCATAGATAGGATCTGGTCCGGTCGATGATGCCATTAATACAGAGAGATATGCCAAATGTGCTTCTGATGAAGCTGAGGTAAGAGAATCCTCATCAGATAAGTCTGTGAGAATATTATCATCTGATTTAGACGATTCTAAAATGGTAGAAATGGCAAGTTGTTTATCCTTTCTGACAGAGTCAAAGTGTTGACTGATAGGCATCTGAGAGTAAGGGTCTTGAGAGTCTTGGAAATAATGACCTTTTCCCGAGTCATGCCTTTTTGGAGATGAAGATGGGGTAGAATGAGAAGACTTAGGGGCGTCTTCTGTTGATTTGGAAATTTTTGTCGAACTGGATTCTGTCTTTCTTCGTTGCCAATTTGCAAAGGCAGTGGGTATGTTGTAATATGGTCTTTCAGGTCTAGACCATGAGACAGATGGTGTCTGGAATAGAGAATGAGACACTGGTGCAGGAGGGTGCAAGAATGCGTAAGAATCAACAGAAACTGGTTGAGGCTGTGAGACCTTCTTTTGTTCTATTTGTTCTTCCAGTTGGAAGAGTTGAGCATTTAGGCTTTTGATTTCTCGATCCTTTTCATTTATTGTTGCACCAAAAGGGGTGTTCTTTATTTCATTCTCTAATCTAGAGATGTCAGCAGTTAACTTCTGGTAATATGTTCTCATCTTTGATGAGAGATAATCCAGCTTGTCTTCTGACTTTTGCATACTGCTTGACATTTTTGTAACTTTGTCATCAATCCTTTTTAGCAGAGAGTTCTGGGCTTGGGCATTTTCTGTTTGCCAATTTAGAACCTCTTCTCTTGGCTTAGTACCTTCGGTTTCCCGTCAGTACCAATTTTCGAAGGAATGATAGTGGGTTTGGTAGAGTACCTCATATTAGGATCTATTTTTCTTTCCAAAGGAGGAAACTCTACATCTCTTTCTACTTCTGAAAACATGAAGCATGGTGTGGGTTTAGGTGTCTTTTCCAACTCGTCTGAACACCTTGATGAAATCATGTTGAAAGAAAACCTGCTTTGTAAATTGGGCCGTCTGTTGAAGGAAGGCCTGTTTTGTAAATCTGACCTTCTGTTAGGGCGAGGTGGTGACTTACAAGGTGTATTCCAACCTTCATCGTCACTGTCTGATTCACTGTCTTCTTCACCGGTATCTCCTGAATGCATCCAACAATTGCACTCAGGATCACACATCCCTGGGTCAACATCCCAGATGAAGTGACCGTTGATTCGGTCAGTATAAACTTCCTTCCCATCTGCATATACTGCGTGAATGGGAATTCTTCCCTCTTTGACAAAGGGTTCCAACATCATGGTTTGGAAAATTTGTCCTGAGGGCTTCTCAGGTTGTTGGAAGATCGTTCTGACTGTTCCGTCAGTAGATCTTTGAAAAGTTGCCTGATTTGTTTGTATGGGTCTCCCGTGGTTTTTTTGGAGATTCTCATAGTTTGTCACCCATTGCAAAGGAATGAGTTCCTTCAATTATTCCCTAGAAATATTCCTGGGAACTTGGACGATCGAAGGGCTTTCTTCTGCCTGGTTTGCAAGAACAAACAGGGCACTGTCATTGCTGTTAGGTAAGGCTAAATTGACTGCATGAGTCTGTAGCCTGTAGATGATCTGGTAGTGGAGGGTGGCACAAACATCAGAAATCTGAGCTACTCCAGTAATCTGGACTTGAACTTTCAGTCTTTCTGGTACGGTGGGGTCTCTCAAACTAACATTGTAATTTGGAAACAATGTTAGCACAACACTTCCAGCATGAAGTGTGGTTAAGACCGTGCCTATCACCGCGTTTTCGTAGTGGAGGTAGCTGGTGTCTAACAAGGAAATCCTTGCGGAGACAGGAAGTCCACGTCTTACGTGGAGGGTGAGCATTAGTCTAATGGCTCCATAATGAAGATGGGTATAGCCATCGGTTCTCCAGTGTCTGATGAGTTCTCTGGGAATCTCAATTGTGACGTACTGTTCTTCGGAGGTTGCCATTAAAGAACACTGTTCCATCTTGGAAGATTGGACATATTCCTTTTCATGAGGTCTTTTAGTTCTGACCAGTTGACTGATAGATCTTAGAGTAGATATCTGTCGTTTGAAGATATTATATGGGCTTAAAAAGAAGGCGACGCTCTCAGAAATCTAAGCATCTTCCAGGATATAAGAGTATTCAACTAGGTTTTAGATCTTTGGTGCCAAGATTCTAGAGACATAATTGGATAAAAATAAGGAGGTATTTAGAAAAGCGGGTTGAGTTTCTGAGTTAGATTGGATAAAGGTAAGATTTTTCATGGTAGTAAAGTCTCTCTTAACTAAAATTAATAATAATACTATATCACAACATGAATTATTTACTAAAAAACTTAAATAACATGATAAAAATACCCATTTATTACAAATTTTAGTATGATGAAAGACCAAAAGAAATTTTAGTAGAGACTAACGCAACTTTAATCTGCATTATATATTTAACTATCAATTAGCAGTGGCCGACCTAACCTGCATAATAGGATCTGGGGGAGCTACTTGATGCATAAATTTTCTCTAGCAAGAGTAAATTTATATATTATAAGATAATCTTTAGAAGAATAGAATCTAATCCTTCGATTGACTACAAAAGAGACACGCCTAATCCCCGATTGCACTCGTAAGCATCAAAATTAAAATCTATCAACTCTCGAAAAACTAAGGATCATTTCCTTGCATTGCAAGCAATGAATTAATATCTCAATAAGCTCAAACATCATTCAAAATAATAAATGCATAAACAAAAGTAATGTCTTGGGTCTTGACCTCTAAATTCAAAATTTATACTAACGATGATATGACAAAAAAACTAATTCATCCTTCTAATAAGCTCATTTATGTAATCTTCCCTATTGCCAGCGTCACCACCTTCAACATAATGATTTTTTTCTTCTTAAGACCACCTAGGGGAGCTTTGAGCTTGAAAGGCCATAGAAAATTGTTTGCCTCCCTGAAGAGAGGTCCAACAGTCATTATCTCATGGATCAGATCTTCGATGCAAATGATCCCATTCTTCCCCAGAGTCTGAAAATGAATAGTGTAAGTGATAAAATTGAGTAATAAAACAAGAGTTAATCATCCATACACTGCCAGTGTAAATTTTTTTACACTGGTAACCAATCATATCTTTTAAATTATTTTATTTTATTTTTATTTCATTAAATAAACAACTGACATAGCACTATTAAAAGATATGATTGGTTGTCGATGTAAAAAAATTTTACATTGACAGTGTATAAGTGTTAACTCATAAAATAAGACCTCCTCAATAATAAAGTTGTCTGTCAAAGCAATTCTCTGCTTGTTAACTTTTCTGAAGCCCCTCTTGTAGATCAATTCTCTTACACTCTTCAAATTAGGGTACCTGAAGTACATATGCAAAATATTAAGAACCCATGGTGCAGGTAATAAAGAACCATGATAATCAAGAATGTTGAAATTTTATATACCCATAGGTAACATATGGCTCAACCCTACGCAGCATATTCACGGTTGCTTTGTTAACTTTGAGATAAATGCTGTATTTATTGCATCTAAATCATCAAATGATGCTTGGAATTTTTCAGGCAATGTACCAAGTGTCTGTCTTGCTTGTACTCAATTTCCGAGGTAGAAGCATACTGGGTCTGAGCCATGACAAGAATGACCATGCAATCACGAATGCCAAGGTCCGTTTCGGCCGGTGGCGACACGAATTAGGCGTAGAGGTAGGGTTCCAGGTAGATTAAATTTTTTGTCAAGCACAGTGCATCTCGACCATTAGTGACATTTTGTGAATTATTTTGTAATTAGCTATACCCATTCAACGTTATTTGAATGAAGTTTTAGTGTTACATTCCTTTAATTATTTTAATTTATTCATGATCGAGTACTTCCTTCAGCGAAGAGAGTGACCGGTTGAAGGGGTCTTTGGTCGAACAGGATGGTTGGTAGGGAAACATGACTTGTTCTAGCCAGGGGGTTCTCAATCATGACATTTGGGTGTATTCTTTAGTCGAGAAGTGTGCTTGGTAGGGAAACTTGTTGAACATAGAGCAAGGCAGGGTTCATGACCGAGGAGAGTGCTTGGCACATATGCATCCTTGGTCAAATACAGTGTTCGGCCGAGGAGAATGCTTGGCGTATGTATGTCCTTGGCCGAGGCGGGTGCTTAGTAAGGGAACCTGTTGAATGTCTAAGTTGGATATGTGAGCTAGGGAAGTGTTTAGCATAGGTGCATCTTCAGTCAAAGAGAGTGTTCGACCAAGGAGAGTACTCGATCCGGTATTTCCTTGGTCGAGGCGAGTGCTCGATAGGGTAACCTGTTAAATGTCTTAAGTTGGATTCATGACCTAGAGGAGTGTTCGTCACAAGTGCATCCTCGATTTATGTTCAACCGAGGATAGTGCTCAGTGCAAATACGTCCTTGGTCGAGGTGGGTACTTGATAGGGGAACCTGTTAAATGTCTTTGGATTCATGACCTAGGGGAGTGTTCGACATAGGTGCATCCTAGGCCGAGGAGGGTGCTTGGCAAGGAACCCTGTTAATTGTTCGAGTTGGATTCACGATCTAAGGGAGTGCTTAGCATAGGTGTGTCCTTGGCTAAGGAGGGTGCTTAGTAGGTGATCGATGTCGTACTCGGTCAAATAAATGCAATTAAAGTGCAGTACTAGGAAGTGACTCCTAGGTTGTCTCCCAAGGACCTGTTCTTTCTCTTAAAGGATCGAACACGTAGTTGGGGGGGTTTTTGAGCAGATTATCAAAATTAAATAAAATAGAGCAAAGTTATGAATTAATTGCAGTAATTAAAATTGGTCAGACCCTTGAACATAATGCACCTCTGATATCCTAAGTTCACGATAGATAATTTGTCTGAACTTATTCCTGTTCAGTCCAGATTAACCAACTAAGCGAAGATTAACCTGAGACCTCGCTACATGAATTAAGAAAACGTGAACCTTGTCAAACCTCCTTCCTCAGGATTAAGCAACCTGAGATACTGAACGAAAACAACCCAGGGTCATTAAGCATGACTCAGATGTTGAATGCCTCAGAACAGAGACCTCACAAGGGAGAATCAAGCAAAGTAGAAATGCAACGCACAAAGAACCTCCATCAGAGGGTTGCAATCTGCCCAAAAGCCCAACCCTGGGGTTTTAGCCCTCCATAAAATCAAAACGCAGCAGCAAAGACATAATGCTAAACATCAAAACAAATGGAATAGTGCAGAATGAAAATGGAAGCAAAATGGGAAAACTGGAAAAAATGAAAAATGTAGGACAATAATAGAACAATGAACTGAACAACAGAAAATGAATACGAACATGCACAAGAATAGCAAGAACGTAAATTAAAACAGAGCAATGAAGATGAAACGAAACTGTGTAGATGAATAGGTAATACTGGTTCTGATTCTGTCTCAAGGAAGAAGAAGAAAAAATCACATTAAATCACAAATTCAAGAGATTTCAATAATTTGCAAAAATTATTTTGAAAAAACAAAAAATGAGGTCATAACTCATGATCAGAAATAGAGTGAGGTTATGAGTCATGAAGGAGTGACTGACAAACTTGCAAGAAGGGATGACTGTCGCGTTCTTGTTATCCTTCTTCGCTCTGACTCAAACAATTGTTCCTTTGTCGCCACTGTCGTGAGCCATGAGAATGATGACTGACGAACTTCGTGAGGTTTTGGGAACCTTAGTCATTGTTGCTCGATCTCATGAGGTTCTGCAAACAAAGTGTGTGTAACGAAATTTCACAAGAAGGCGTATCGTCGTCACTTAATCTCATGACTCGTGAGGTTTTGGGAACCCTAGCCATGGGGCAACACTTACAATGACACTTTCTAGTTTCTATTTCTAGTCGTTTGGATTTTGTTTGTCCAGGGAAAAATAGGAAAAACAAATTAAGCAGGTCAGCTTGTCTCAGCCTGCAATGTGGTTCGACGAGTTAGGGGTTAAGTAAGGTGGGCCAGACGAGCTACGATGCTTAGCTCGGCCTATGGGCCATGTTGTTTTTGCCATCCTTAATCCTTATCCATATTCGACTCGCTAAAACTCATGAATAAACAAATTAGTATACAAGTCTAAAAAATATATTTTTTAAAATAAAAAAAAATGTATAAAATTAGAAGAAAAAATCTTTATTTTTTAGTGTGCAAAAATCATTTTATTTTGAAGTTAAAATCCATAACACTAAATTTTCCAAAATTGAGAATGGTCTTAAACACTGAATACTAAATTATTATAATTAAAAATATTATCAATACTTATATAATAGTCTCAAACTTTCAATAATAAAAGCATTAAAATATCTTAAAAATAATTTAAATGGTAAATAAATATCAACTAAGCATAGTTATAATATCATACTAATTTAAAAGTTCAAATACATAATTAAATATTAAAGTCTTAATATTTAAAAAGTTAATCTGTGGAGTTTTGTGGACTAGCCTGCGAGGCCACAAATTAAGTTCTCCAAATTCGTGGACTTTATGAACTAGACTCAAAAATTAAACATAAAATTATAGGTTTGAAAAAGATGGATTCATTATCCACGAAGTTCACAAATTTACGGATTGGCTTACAAACTTGGGACCATCTACCCACCCCTACTCAAAATTTTGTTACTTGTAACTATTAAGACCTCAAAAAATGACACTCCTATCCCACATTAACAACCTTTTTAACACCTAAGGAGGCACCTAAATCCCTTAAGTTGAGCAACCTCAAATCATCCCTCCACCATATCATCGACTCAACCTTCTTTTGATTATGCTTTTTAAAAGAAAGGTAAGAAACAAGTCAAGTACGTACAAATTATTGATGTTGAAAGTGACAAGATTAAAACTAATTAATGAGATTAAGTCTAAAGTCAACTTTGAAGACGAGGAGGAAGAAAAGTCTAGAGAGAGTTAAGATCAACAAGTTAATGATCATTGTTTGCTTGATTTTTCTTTTGATATTTTTATGATTAATGCCTTGTCTACATCACAAAATCCTATGAATGAGATGTGTATCGATGTTTCCTGCCAAACTCTTAGTTATAGTTGTATTTCAATATCTAGTATGCATGATTCTTCCCTCAATTTCACGCCTCAAAAGAACTCACCAAGTTGTATAAATTACTAAAGATGTCGACGATGTGAAAAAGAAAATGGTCGAGTCGAGGAAGACAAAAAAAGAACTTGTTTACATTTAATCATAGGAGTTTATGATGAGCTGAATTGCTTGGCATGAGCTTAATGTGGTGCTCTTGATGAATTTGTTACTGTTCATAAAAAAAATATGTAAAAACAAATTCAATTGATGAAAACATGATAGAACAATCACTAATAGATAACATTGAAAATATTGTTAGTCCTAATTTATATCAAGAATAAGAAGAAAAATATTAAATGAAAATAGTTTATTAGAAATAAATATTGAGCAAATATTGCATAAGTGAAGTTCTTGAAAGTATTTATCATACGAGAAAATGAACAAAGATTGATGAAAACTATAGAGATTTAAAGATAGAAAGGGTTCAATTAGACAAGACAAATTACAATTTTCAATATATAAAAATAATAGACATTTTAATTCAAATAGTATTGCCAAATGGAGAAAATATGATAGGAAATGATTAGTTTATTTAAGAAATTTAGATAAATATATTATTTTGTTGCAAGTTATTTTGTTTTAGTAGTATTAGTCAAATAGTAAAGAAAAAATGAAGGGGAGGGGGAGGGTACTAGCGATTAGAAAAATCCTAGTTCAAAACTCAAAATTCATGAAATTAGTCATGAATATATCACTAAGTTGACTAAATGGATTGAACTAGAAAGTAGATTAAGAAAAAAAAATTGACAAGAGCCAAGAAGAACAAATTAATAAAGAAAAAGAACGTTGAAAAAAAGTTTTACTTGGAATTATAATTAAAGTCAAATATTTTATCTTAAAATAATTTTGCTTTTCGTGGAACAAATGAGAAGAGATATGAAAAAAAAATGGTAATCTTTTAGGTTTAATTGAAATGCTAGCATAATTTGATCCAATTGTGCAAGAACATGTTAAGTGCAAAAAAAACGGTGGAATTTGTGTTCTTAAGCAATATTGTACATAATGAACTTATAGAATTGTTAGCCTTCCAAATAAAAAATGTCAAGAAAGAAAGTTAAGGAATCAAAATAATTTTATGTTATCCTTCATCGTACTCTTGATATAAGTCATCAATAGTGTACTAGTAAGCCCGAACACCCCCTTCGGCCTCTAACACAATTGAAAACCCCTTTCGGCCCCCAACACAACCGAACACTTCCCAAGGCAACCGAAGAGTGGAGAACAGACGGGTGAACGACTCTTTAGCCTTTGAGAAGGGCCACACGAAAACCTAGAGTATCTCCAAAACACCACTTCGGCTTCATCCTTACCCGAGTAAGGATGATTACTAGTACTCGGGAGTTAGGAAGGCTGAGTACCCCCTTCGACGAAAGAGTAACTCGAACAGGTACTCGGCCATAACAAACATTGAACCACTGGATAATAAAAGGTAC